GGCATATCATTTTCATCTCCACTAAGGAACTCCACCAAGTTTCTGCACTACTTCAAAATCCACATGCAGGGTCACCTTAGTCTCAGCCTCCACCCTCTGAGCTCTCGCGAGGACCACTGCACTCCATGGTCTAAGTGGTTTTCTCAAGACCATTCCTGCCTCCCACTCCGCCCCCATCCAGGAGCTCAAGTATTTGTTTGAAACTGCATCCATCAGTGCGTTCGTAAAATAGATGATGCATAACAGTAAATTAGATGTACACGCTGCAATATATAGACCTTGAAAACATGGCATTAAATTAAAAGAAAAATTTATCAAAATTAAAAACACACTAGAGAGACACTAGAGAGAGCTGTATCTGAGTAGTGGGTCTTGGAGTGACTTTTTTTTTTTTTTTTACATTCCTCTTTATATTTTTCCACATGGCTTAACTTTAAAAACAATGAACATAGAGGATGTTATGCAACCATTAAATGTTTTGAAAATTCTACCTATCCATGTAGAACATTCCATATATGACAAAGCTATGTGTGTATTTAAAGGCGCACATCAAACACATCAGATGAGGTGCTTCTGGGTGAGGAGACGAGGGAGGAGGGCTCAGAGTTAGGGAGGGAAATTAAATAAGAAAATCCTTTGCTGAGGACACTGAACTACTGCCCCAGGAGTATCATGAACTCTGTTCTTTCACCAACCTTAAAAAACAAAACAAACAAACAAACAAACAAAAAAAACAACCAAAAAAAAAAACCCACTAAAAACTCCCCCTACATCTGATCATGATACTCTGTTGTTTCAAATTCTTCTTTTCTCTCTTTCCTCTTAAAATCCAAAGCAGTTTGGGTAGCCATTAAGGCCTTATATGACCTGAGCCATATCCACCTTGACACCGCAGCTCCCCATGACCACAGGTCAAAATTCAAGCCCTGTGATGTGCCATTAAAGACTTTTCTGGGTCTGTCCTGTCTGGACCCCTCTGTACTCATTCAGACAGCCACAAGGACCTTCGTTCACTTCCTCCAATAGGCCACCATTCTCACCCCAGGCCCTCTGCACCTGCTGTTCTCTGGCCTAAAATGCTTTTCCACCTTCTCTTGGCCTGGTGAACAACTCACCCCTTGGGGTCAGCTCCTCACTTCCTTAAGGAAGCCTTCCCTGACCCCCACTCTAAGTCAGATCTCCCTGGTTATAGTCATTGCAATGATGCTAGTAACAAATACATAGTCAGGAATGTGATTATTAGTTCACTATTGATTTCCCCCAATAGACTGAAAGCTCCATAAGGACAAGGTCCAGACTTTTGTTCTCTGCTCTATCGCCCCCACCTACTACTTAGCCTAGCACTTGCCACACGGTAGGTGCTCAAAAATATTTGGTGGACAAACAAATGAATGACCTCATCAATGTCACTGCCAGTTCAGCCATTTACTTCCCTGGTCACACCCTGCTCTTGTCATTACCCAGAATTCCGTCTCCAGAATATTTATCCACTGAGGATTTACTGAACACTAACTAAATGCCAGGCACTTTGCTAAGTGTTGGAGATGTCAGAATAAATAGGACACAATTTATCAGATAAATGTTAAAAGTTCCAATATCCCACTCTCTGACTAGAGCTTTCCAGGTTCCAGCTTGCTCCCTGACCCTCACTATACCTGCTCTTCAACCACATTGAGTACTCCAGACTGTCCGATCTCTCCAAGCCTCTCTGCAGCTTTCCCTTCCTTCTCCATTCACCCTGGAGTCATGCATCACTTCATCGCTCGCTCCCCCTCACTGCCACCCTCTTGCCCTCCCCACCCTCTGATGATATCCACAGTGCCACACCTCACCCTGCAACCTGGCAAACCGCTTGTTCAGTCTGTACCCAGCCGACCGAGTGTTGCCCAAGAAAATAAGAAGCCCTGGGGCGCCTGGGTGGCTCAGTTGGTTAGGCATCTGACTCTCGATTTCAGCTCAGGTCATGATCTCACTGTTTGTGGGATCGAGTCCCTAGTCCAGCTCTGTGGTGACAGCCCAGAGCCTACTTGGGATTCTCTCCCTCTCTCTCTGCCCCTCCCCTGCACTCTCTCTCTCTCTCTCTCTCAAAATAAATAAAAATTAAAAAAAAATAAAAAGCTATCTGGAGTCTACAGCAAAGTTCATACTCCATAACAAAGTAATATAAAAACATTCCTGTGAAAGTCAGGAAATAGGCATATCTCCAGTCATCATTACCTAAATTCACATCCTCTAATGCGATAAGCAATGAGAAAAGACAGAAAAGGTATAGACATTGAGAAAGAGGCTATACATCTCTCACTAGCTATAGCTTATATGACTTTCTACTTAGAAAACCCAGGAGAATCCACTGAAACCACTATTTCTGACCAAAGAGAGGGCTATTGGAGGCCTGACCTCTGAACCTACCTGGGCAGCTCCTTCCCAATAGGGAAAGTGACCTCAGGAACACAAGAGAAACACTGGCCTGCTTGGGCTGAGCTTCAGGCCTGCATGGTCTGTATCTGGATGGCATCTCTCACAAATTAGAGGGAAGGTCTATGCTCACAAATGCATTTGCTTGCTCATTTTTTCAGATTCCTTAAAATGTCCCTTCTCAGAAACCCCCAGAGCTTCCCACAGCCACAGGTCAAAATCCAAGCCCTGTGATGTGGCACTCAGGACTTTTCTGGGTCTGTCCCGCCTCCTGTCTGGATACTGGACCCTTCTGCTCTCACTCAGAGAGTCAGCTCCCACATCTCCTAAGGGTGCCATCCTCAGAGCCAGAGCCCCTCTGCAACCTTATCTCTGGGATGCCCCCCCACCTCCCCTCAGCTCCAAGTGCCTGACATCCTTCCCAGGACCACTCCCAGGGAGGCCAGGGAGGCAAGTGGAAGGCCTCAGAAGGGGCCCCGCACCAGAGTCCTGGGCAGAGGGAAGGAGGCTGTGTTCCGGCAAGGCTGACCCTTACCTGATTGTGTCCTCCAGGTGCCCCTCCCCCAGGAACCTCAGGAACATTGCCTGGAGGTCGCTCCAGTACAAGGTGCCCTGGTGGGAGTCTGGGCCCGGCTCATAGTTTATATCCTCGCTGACCACCAACACGTCATCCCCGCATGCCTGGCAGGACCCTCGGAAGGCCACATAGCCCAGAAGGAAAGCTGGGGGATGGCAAGATGGAGATGCCCTTGTACCCCCCTCTGGATTCCAGAAATCCACCCCCAACCCAGGCCCTTCACTGACGGGGGAATGGGGTAGGGGATGACTCTCACCCCCAGTGAAGATCAGCAGGGTTGTCAGGACCAGGTAGGGGGCAGCCCTTCGTGCTGTTGCTGCCCAGAGTCCGAGGTTCTGCTTCCCTGCTCTGGAGCCCAGGTCAGGGCCCCTCAGCTCCATAGGGCAGAAGTGGATGGGTGGCTCAGCCCCCTCCTCCCCGTCTTCCTCTTCCTCCTCCAGGCGCCACTGCTGGGTGCCCTCCACGCGCTTGTAGATGGTCTGAGAGGGTCGTGGGGACAGCCTTTGCTGCACAGGGCACGGTGGGCATGAGATTGGGAGAAGAGGCGTGGGGGATAGGCTAGGATCTGGCAATAACAGTCAGTGACTATGGGGTGCCAGAGGAGCACAAGGCAGGGGAAAGGGTCCTGAGAGGCAAGCTGCAGGGGAAAGATGGAGGTGGGGAGGGGAGGGGCCAGCTTTGGGGTTTGGGAGGGGGCTGAAGGACCTAGAGAGAAGGCCTAACGTGTCCCCCAACCCCACTCGGTCTTACCGTTCTGTGAAGTAGACCCCAAAGCCGCTCCATGCTCGTGCCCCCTCCTGAGCCTCGCCGGCTGTTCCCCCAACAGTGATAAACCGTTTGTGGGAGCCCCAAGAGGGCCCCTTATCAGCCCTGGCAGGCAGCCTGAGCCTAGGCCGTTCTTGTCCCCCCCCCAAAGGGTGGGGGCACAGTCCTGGCCTCAGTCCAGCCTTCCAGATATGAACCCCCAGCCCAGGCCAGAGGACAAGGGGCTGTGCCCTCCCCTGCCAATCCCTCCACAGTCCCACTTCCGCCCCCTTCCTGCAAAACAATCAATTTTTTTACCTTGGGGCAGACTTTGGCCTCCTAGTTCCCATCAGGGGTGGGGGAAGGGGACTGATGGCTGGGGAGGGCAAAGATAAGGATGCCCTCTCCTGCTTCCACCCCTCCCAGTGTCCTTGGGGACCCCTTCCTAAGCTCCCCACTATGAAAACCTCACCCCCTCTCAAGTCATCTGGCTTGCAGGCCCACCAGTGAGTGCCCAGCCAGTCCCTGTAACACATTAGGCTTGGCTGGGGTGATCCTAAGCTGAAGTTGCCTAAGTGGTGTGACCTGGGGGTTGGTCTGGCCATGTGAATGCCTATCTCTTTGGAATCAGGCTGAAAAGTGGGTCTGGGGCTCCCGCTAACTTCTGGGGAGAGAGGGGCATGGGTGGGAGCATATGGTCAAGTAGGACCAGTGAGTGCTCCATGTTGGGGTTCTCCTGGATCTGTGAGTCAAGGCCCACCAGGCATTGGTGGGAAGTGTCCTGGTCAAGGCCTGGGCAGAACTGGGTGATCTTCAACAAGTCATGGTCTTCTCTGGGGCACCTGCGTCTCTTTGGTGACCGGAAGACATGACTTCTACCTCTTTGGGGTCTGGGCACCCCTGGAACACATCACGGGCACAAACTGCTAAGTTTTACCCACAATTTCACACACGGGATGCAGGTCCTCAGGCCCTACCGAGGATCCCAAGTAGCTCTGGAATAGAAGTGCTCAGGGGCCTCGTGTCGGGTCTCCCTTGGGAAACCTCAGCTCTTACCCAAATTGGGAGAGAGGCTCAGAGCTGCTGGGGCGCACCAGTGCCCCAGTCTCCGCCCCATTCTTGCCACCGCCAAGAGCCGGGAGAAGGAAGACGAGGCGCAGCCGGCTCACCTGAGTTGCAGGTCCGGGGGGCTTAGGCACCGCCTCCCACCTGAGGCCCGAAACCCCGCCTACCTAGGGCCCGCCCCAGCTCCGCCCCTCCCCTGCCGCGGGGTCTAGTCTCCAGCATCCGTTTCCTGTCCCAACTCGGCTCCTCGCTAGGGGCCCATTTGAGCGACTCTGCTGTGTCCTCGCTACGGGATCCTCCCTGGTTCCCCCTTGAAACCCGAGGCTTCTGCGGCTCCTGGATCTCTGTCCCCATCCGCAGACTTTGCCCCGGCGTCCACTGTGGGATCATCAAAGGACGTAGGTGTGGGCCTTCCTCCCCTCGCTTCCCCCCAGGCCCTTGACCCCACGCCCTCCACCCCCACCAAGCAGGCCAAACTTTTTTTTTTTTTCTTAAAACATTTTTACTCCTTTCAACCCAGAAACATCACATCTAAGCGGAAGAGAAGGGAGGGGAAGAGACGAGGGCATGGGGGTGGGGGCTTCGATGTGCGCTTGCGGAGGCCGAGCCAGGAAACCCTCTCCCCGCCTTTTGGCGTCCCCTATCCCACCGCGGCGGGCGGGCGAGTGGGTGTTGAGGGGACGCCCTCAGGGGCACTTCCGCTCCACGCACTGCTTCCCTCCCTCCTCATATTCCTGCTTGGAGATCCACATCTGCTGGAAAGTGCCCTGGGGGCGGGGGACGACAGAGGCCTTCAGGGCGGCCCTGGAGAGAGGAGGGGACGCCCCTCCCCACATTCCACCAGCAGGCCCAGCCCTTGGGAAACCCTCCCCCTGCCCTGCGATCCCCGCCTCTCCCGCCCATATCCCTTCCTCCTCCACCTCCCCAAGCCTCCCCGCCCTCCTTCATATTCAGAGGGTGAATACCCCTCCTCCAGTCGTTCAGTCAGAACATTGGTTCATTCATTCAACAAGTATTTATTGCGCACCTGTCTGCCCTGGGCCACGTGCTGTCTTCGAGGGGGGAGTGGAGCTTAGAGCCTCAGGCCAGCCAACCTGTCCCCCCCAAAGCCCCCACCCCCCAACACCTCCTGCACCTTTCGCTCCATCAGGCCTTACAAACTTGTCAAGTCTCCTGCATTCCCAAGAACAATCTTTCCTCCACCCTCACCCTTCCTGCACCACCTAACTTCTGGTTGGAGTGGTCTTCACCACCCACGCTGAACCTTGCCCCTTGAGGGTCTCCTGCACTGGGCATCCCAGACTGTCCCTTCTCTTTGATGGTTGCTTCACCTGTGCCTGAAAGCTAGTGCCTGTGTCCCTGGTACTGACCCTGTTTTCTGGGCTCACAGAACAAGCCTTGCAGAACCAGCTCCTCCTCTCCTGGGACTTTTGCTCAAGCACTAAAACCCCACCCCTCCCCCCAGTCTCCAGTCTGCAATGCTCAGCACTGAGTACTGGACCCAAATACTCAGCTGTCTTTCGGACACCTCTTTCTGAGTCTCTTGGGACCTCAAACTCAGCATGTCCAAGACTGAGTTCCCCTAGGCCTGGCCCAAACCTGCTGGTGTGGTCTCTCTCACCTTCTTCTTTTTTTTTTTTTTAATTTTTTTTTTTTGATGTTTATTTATTTTTGAGAGAGAGACAGACAGAGCACGAGTGGGGAAGGGGCAGAGAGAGAGAGAGAGGGAGACACAGAATCTGAAGCAGGCTCCAGGCTCTGAGCTGTCAGCACAGAGCCCCACGTGCAGCTCAAACTCATGAGCTGTGAGATCATGACACTTAACCCACAGAGTCACCCAGGTGCCCCTGGTCTTCTCACTTTCTATACTAATGCTGTCTGATACAGTGGCTATTGAGCACTTGTGGATGTCGAAATGTGACTAGTCTGAACTGACATGTGCTCTACAGTTGTAAAATACACAACAGATATTGAAGACTAAGTCCAGGAAAGAGAATGTAAAATATCTCACTTTGATATTGATCACCCATTAGAGACTCCTGGGTGGCTCAGTTGGTTAAGTGTCCAATTCTTGATTTTGGCTCAAGTCATGATCTCACAGTTTATGAGTTAGAGTCCCTCGTCGGGCTCCAAGCTAACAGTGTGGAGTCTTCTTGGGATTCTCTCCTCCCTCTCCCTCTTTCTCTGCCCTTCCTGCAGGTGCATGGCTCTCTCTCAAAATAAATAAATAAAATTAAAAAAATTATTGGTCACACCTTGAAATTATAATATTTTGGATATATTGGATTAAATAAAGTATATATATATATACATATATATATATTTTTTTTTCTTTTAACTAGAGGTGCCTGGCTGACTCAGTTTTTAAGTAACCTCTGCACCCAACGTGGGACTCAAAATCACAACCCCAAGATCAAGAGTCGTATGTTTCTATGAATGAGCCAGCCAGGTGCCCCAAAGAAAGTATATTTTTTCATTCTTTTTTTTTTTTTTTTTTAATTTGAGAGAAAGAAAATGTGCAAGCGGGGGAGAGGGGCAGAGGGAGAGAGAAAGAGACAGAGAGAGGGAGAATCTTAAGCAAGCTCAATGCTCAGCACAGAGCCCAACTTGGGGCTCAATCCCATGACCCCAGGATCATGACCTGAGCCTAAATCAAGAATCAGAATCTCAACCAACTGAGCCACCCAGGCACCCCAAAGTATATTCTTTAAACTTAATCTCACCTGATTCTTCAGGCTCTTTTAAAATATGGCTATTTAAAGTTTAAAGAACATTTAAAGTTGTATATGTGGCTCGCATTACATTCCTGTTGACCACAGCTGCCAGGAGCTAGCATCCTGAGCCTCATCCTGGACTCCTTCCCTCTTCCCTCTTGTATCCAAATGCTGTCCACATCTGTCAGTTGGACCTGTGATGAGCTGCCACTTCCACAGCCTGATACCCACTCCTCTGTCAAACCCCACTCCCAGCAGAGACCACAGCAGCCCTACTCAAGCCACTCACCACTCTGCTGCCCTAGTGAGTGAGCTTCCTAAACTCGGATATGACCGCGTCTGCCTATAGCAGACCTATAGCCTCTCCCTATAGCCCCAGCACCCTCTCTCTCTTTGCCACAGAAGTTCTTATTCAGTCTTCCATCTCAACTTCAACGCTCCTCTGAGTCCCTTCATGACCCTTGAACTAGGTCTGGTCCTCCCTTGAAGGGACATCCCTGCACTTTGTGGTCTCTTCCTGTTTAATGGCCTCAGCCTCTGGACTCTGCCTTCTCATGGGGGCCAGGACTAAGCCAGGCACACAGGTAGGCATGGCTGACATGTTCCCGGCCCTCAGCTGACTTCACACTATCAGCCTCCTCTATTTCTGACCCTTGCTTCTGTCTCCTTGAGGGCTGCCCCTCTGAGGGATGTCCTTCTTGCTCTGTTGTGGCCCCGCTGTCCCCTCTATGTGGCTGACGCCCGTGAGACGAAGTTTGCATCTCTGGCTCCCTGCTCACCGTGCCCAGTGACAGGTCCAGACAGGACCCTTTGCAGGGTCCCCTTGTGTCCAGCTCACACCCTGATCTCCTCATGCCTGACACAGTCTTCCCAAACATGCCTGTGACTGTCACGTTGCTTCCTCTCCCCAACCTCTGTGTCTCCCCTTTGCTAAGAACAGTGGGTGCCCCATCCACAGTCTCAACCCCAACCAGTCTCTCCAGCTCCTTTCCTTCTGCTCCCTGATTTGCCCCGATGGAGCATTCACTGGCTGCTCTTTCTCAAAAATATGTTTGTTGAATGAATGAATGAATGAATGAGGAGGCGGGCAAGGGGATGGGGCTGTTCGGGCCTGCCCCTTTCCCACAGTCAGTGCTAGGCCAAGCCCTGTCCATCTCACCAGCGAGGCCAAGATGGAACCCCCGATCCAGGGGCTGAACTTGCGCTCCATGGTGCTGTTGCTGGCGATGAGCTTCAGTCGCATGCTCTGGGGAGAAAGAGAGGGACAGGCGGGGGAGGAGGGGGGAGGAAACACCTGGGTTCTGGGAAGGGACAGGGCTGGAAGTGGGGAGGACTGGGAAGTCACAGGGGGAGTGTCTGCTCTGGTGGCCAGAATGCCTGATGTTGGGGAAGGAGGAAGGACTAAGTCCTAAAGAGCTAAGCCACGACTGGAGTCCAGGGCCCTGGCCGCAGTGGGCTCTTACCGGTGGGGTCTTCTGGGAGAGCTCTCGATTGAGCCTGTCAGTGAAGCCCTGGAGCAGTGTGTTCCCGCCAGTGACAATGACACTGCCATATAAGCCCTGAGAGCAGAGAGGAGTGAACCTTCAGGGAAGAGCCCCTCCCCGTCTCCCCACTGCTCCTGGGCCCCTTTGCCCAGACACAGGCTTGGGCCTCACCGGGCGAATGTCGATGTCACACATGCCAATGCTGGTGGTCACCACGTGGCCCACACCCAGCATGGTGTTCCCCGACAGGCCCTGCCGAGAAAGGTGATCTAGGTTTCCAGCCTCTGCCCCCTCTCCCCAGACCCCGGTGATCCTTCCCAGCCTCCCCGACATGCCGGCATCCAGGGAATCCAATCAGCCCCCACCTCAACACCCTCCGCCCAGCCCAACCTTGACATTGGAGGGATCAAACAGGCCCTCAGGGATGCGGAGCCGCTCAGCACCGTAGTCTGTGTTGTAGCCATTGGGCATTTCATAGTGCACTGTGGGCATTTGTGCAGCCACCCTGCCCAGAAAAGAGTGAGACTCTGCCTGGGGGTGCTCACAAAGGACCAGAGGTCCCCTGAGAGTCCCAGGCCTGTCCTCTTTCCCGCCCTCCAGCAGGGAATGCCACTCACTGCTCATCATAGGGAGAGTCTGAGACCTGCAGCACAGAGGCCTGGAAGTCCTGGATCACCTCCTGAGGACCCAGGGAGGTAGTGAGGGTCTGGTCTCCCTCCTCAGCACCCCCAAGTACCCCCTCCTGCAGGGCCTCTCTGTCCCTTCCCCTCTTCTCATGGTAGGGGACGAGGAGCTGGGGAGGGGCAGGGGCTATTTCAGGGGACGCTGTCCTCACATTGCACATGTAGTTATGCCAGGACTTGGAAACCTGGGGTAGCTTCTCCTTCTTCTTCCAGTTTGGGGGGGCGCCTTCCCGTACGGGTTCCTGTGGGGCACAAAGCCTGTGAGTGCCCTTCCCCACCCCACACCTGCCCAGCCCACCTGGACCACACCTGTGCTCCTACACCGAACAGGCACTGGGTTCTTTGCTCTGTTGGCCACAAAAGGCAGCAGAAGAGAGAGAGTAGGGAGAACCTGTTCCCATGTCTGTCACTCATGCAGCAGTACAGCTATCTGAAAGGCCCAGTCAGAGGAAGCTAAGGGCATGGGGAATATAGTAAGAGATCAGACAGAACCTTAAGGGGCTTTTTCCTGAGCCGTGTTCCATGTGGGGGTCCAAGATGGACCCTTGCATGCAGTGTCTCACTTAACACGGCAGCCTTGCATGGTGTTATTCCACTTTGCAGGGGAAGAAACTGAGGTTCAGGAAGCTTCAATCTCATGCTGTGGGGTCACACAGCTTTTACATGGCAAAGGCACACCTTGAACCTGGGTCTACCACACTGACCCTCCTACATCCTGCTCCCAGCTGGCTGTATGGCCTCGGACATGTCCTTCAGCATGCCTGGACCTCTGATGCTTCGATTGTAAGTTGGGTCCTCTGGGGGCCCTGCTACACCCTTTTCTGTTATCTAGTGGGTCAGTGGGTCAACAGTCATAGGGTGAGTGCCCAGGACTCCTCAGAGACCCCACCTTGGCTGCAATCATGTAGGGTGGGATGATGTCAATGGCCATTTCCTGGAAGAGCTCCCGGCACTGCATGGAGATGAAGTCTCCTGCCAGAGGTGACTTGACAATGCCTGGAAAGGGAAGGGACGTTAGGGCCTTGTCCCCCAAGACACCCCCGAGCCCTACCGAGGCCTCACCTTGTTGTAGGACATAGCCGTCATGCACTGGGATGGCCGTGGTGTGGGTGGCCCCACTGTCCAGCACCAGGCCTGTGGAACGTCCATTTGCAAAGCTGGCATGGGATGGGTAAGTCAAAGACATGGTGGTAGTGAGGGGGCTGGGACTCAGGTCTGGCCTGGTCACCCTCTGCTCTCCTGGTCCAGCCCATTCACAATCTGCAAATCTCTCATTCTGGTTTGTGACCCATGACTGGAGGAAAGCTCCTGAGACCCCTGTCACTTCTTCCCTGTCTGAATCACAACTTCCTCTTTTTCTTCCTTCTGAGCTCCCAGTCTCTCTGGAGTCTTGGTTCAGTGTTCTATTGGCTCCTTGAAATGGGGGGCCATATTGCCCCAATGCCTAGCTCAGGAGTTAATGCAAGGTAGATCCTTAAAAAAAAAAAAAAAAAATGCTTGATTGGCTATTTGGGGAGGAAACTCCTCAGTGTTATATCCCTCCCTGTTCTCTCCAGTCCCAGCCCCTGCTGTCTACTTGGCCCAACTCTGTCCGTCTGTCTGTCTGTCTCTGTTCAGCTTGATCCAAGGACTAGGAAAGAGCCACTGATCTGGCTGCCCCCGGGGTCAGAAGGCCCACAGAAGGCCCTCTGCACTAATGGGGCACAGAGTGGGTATCTGCCATCCAGGACACTAATCTGCACAGAATCAGGTCCAGCCTCCAGTTTAGCACACCATGAACCCCACCCTGGCCCTCCACCCAGGCAGAGCAGCTCAGCCCAGAGGATACGCGGTGAGCACAGCCGTCTTGCATAAGAAGAAGGCAGGAATGTTGTACTGCTCGAACATCAGCTCTGTCAGCTTCTCCCGCTTGGCCCGTGTATTCCACTGGGGAGAAAGTATAGGAGGGGAGGATTCAAAAAGAGGGAGGCACAGACCCATGTACGACACACACATGCACACGCGCGTGCACGCACACACACACACACACACACACACACACAAAACTTGGACTGGGGAGAGTTCAGGCCTCTTGATCCACATAGACCTTTAGAATGTGAGAACTATGGAGAATTTTAAAGATCACATTCCAATTCAGCTGAAGAAAATAAAACTCAGAGAGGGAGAATAACTTGCCCAAGATCACACAGAAAGCTCTGGGTAGAGCTTGGTAGAGTCATAGTCTCTTGACTTCTGGCCCAGTGTTCTTTATTTTATTTTTTATTTTTAATTAGTTAATTTAATTTACTTATTATTTTATTTATTATTTTTTTAATGTTTATTTATTTTTCAGACAGAGACAGAGCATGAACAGGGCAGGGTCAGAGAGAGAGGGAGACACAGAATCCGAAGCAGGCTCCAGGCTCTGAGCACAGTCTCTGAGCCTCAGCACAGAGCCCGACGCGGGGCTTGAACCCACAGACCGTGAGATCATGACCTGAGCCGAAGTCGGACGCTCAACCGACTGAGCCACCCAGGCGCCCCTAATTATTTTTTTTTAAGTAGGCTTCACACTCATGACCCTGAGATCAAGAGTTGGACGCTTAACCAACTGAGCCACCCAAGCACCCCTCAGTGTTCTTTATTGTACAATATATACTTCAGGCTCCTTTCAGCCTCCAATTTATCCCTCTTTCCCATTTTAATCATCTCAGAGGGAAGAAAGCTGGGAAGAGGATTTCTGGGTAAAAATTGTGGATTGAATACAAACATCAAATTTTATTCTCTTCCAAGATCCCAGCAAAAGTATAATAAAGGGGCAATTTAAAAAGACATAAACCCATGTCACCTGGCTGGCTCAGTCACTAGAGCATGCAACTCTTAATCTTGGAGTCACGAGTTCAAGCCCCACATTGGGCTTGAGAATTTGGGCTTGAGATTTCTTGAGGAAAAAAAAAAGACATAAACCCACAAAAGCCAACCAGCACGTGAGAAGATGCTCAACATTGTTGGCCATTAGCGAAATGCAGATCAAAAGCACAATGAGATGCCATTTCATACCCACTAGTGTGTTGATAATAATCAAGGGGAAAATAAAGGTATAGAGAACCCCCACCCCTTGTCCCTTGCGGGGGGGGGGGGGAGTAAAACGGTTCAGCCACTGTGGGGAACAATGAGTAGTTTCTCAAAAAGTTAAACATAGGATTACCATATGACCCAGCAATTCCACTCTTAGTTATATATCCAAAGACTTGAAAACAGGTACCAAATAAATCCATACATACAACTGTTCATAGCAGTACTACCCACAATAGCCACAGATGGAAAGTCCCCAAAAGTCCATGAAGGGAGAAATTAGAAAAACAAATGGTGGTATATCCATACAATGGAAAACTACTCGGCCATAATACAGAATAAAGTACTGACATATGCCATGACATGGATGAATCTTGAAAATATTATGCTAAGTGAAAGAATACAGACCCAAGAAGTCACATGGTGTATGATTCCACTTATGAGAAAGATACAGAATAGATCTATTCATAGAGACAGAAAGCAGATTGATGGTTACCAAGGGCAGGGAGAGTAGGAAGAAACTGGTTAATGAAAATGGATTTTCTTGTGGGGTGATGAAAATGTTTGGGAACTAGATAAAGATGATGACTGCACAACATTGTGAATGTATATTAAATGCCACCAAATTGATAACATTAAAAAGTTAATTTTATGTTATGTGAATTTTAGTTCAAAAAAGAGAGACAGGAAGAATCTTGGACAGACACCCTCAAGAGTTGGGAGTAACAAAGAAGGAGAAAACAACAACAAATTTTTGAAGAGCAGAAGCCAGATAGTTGAGTGGTAACTGACCTAACAGATTCAAGAACACTGACTCCTAAGCAGGTAATGGAAAAAGCCAAGAACAGCCTGTGTCAAATTGCGGACTTCTCACAGGGTTCAAGAATTTGTAGTTTCAGGCATCTCTGGCAGTTAAGGTTAAGGGAAAGCTTAAAAAAAAAAAAAAAAAAAAAAAAAGAGTGTTTAAAGCCATTCAAGTAATAGCTCCCTAAACTCTCTCCCCAGTTCCATCCATGTCACTGAGCTATTTATTACCCATCCTAGCCTCAGCAGAAGACTGAAGTTTATTCTCTAGACAGAATAACACTGAGGGGCTCTGGACAGGTGGGACACTTGACACAGTTGGGAGTGGAGACACTAAAAACAGGAGAATTAAGTGATTCCATGCATATTAAATGCTGAGAACCTCAGCCCTATTCCCTCACTCCCAGAAAGGGGGTGACCAGGCCTATCTGTAGGGTACAAGCTTTCTCCATGGGTTACATCAGAAATCTATAGATGCCAATTATCAGAGGCTGCCTAACAAACACCCCAGGCAAATCATCCTATAGCAACATCCTCTATCACCACAGCCAGTGAGTCCCCTCACTTCACATGGCTTTCAATCAGTGTTTTAGTCCACCACTTGTAAACATAAGCAGACAACCAAGGATTAGCAGAAATCTGAGAAAAGCCTCTAAAATGAGACAGAGACCCCCAGAAAGGGTAGAGAGGGAGTGGCTGGGTGGCTCAGTCTGCTGAGTGTTTGACTCTTGGTTTCGGCTTAGGTCATGATCTCACGGTTTGTGGGTTGAAGCTCCTCATTGGGCTCTGTGCTGACAGTGCAGAGCCTGCTTGGGTGTCTCTGTCTCCCTCTCTCTTTTCCCCTCCCTTGCTCTTTCCCACATGCTCATGCACTATCTTTCTCTCTGAAATAAATAAATAAATAAATGGCAGAGGAAAAAAAAGCAACTTGGAAGAACAGAGATTATGCAGGGAAATGAAAATTTCCAAAAACAGAAACAAAACTAATATCCTGAGTGAGCTAACATCATATTTCACCCATGAAGAAAGAATTGCATGTTCTAAAAAGTAACATTTGTAGAACCAAAAAACTCTTGAAAAGTAAAACTACAGAAGCAGAAATGAAAAACTCAATAGAAGAATTGAAAAATAAAGTTGAGGGAATATCTTGGAAATTATAGGAAGAGGGACGCCTGGGTGGCTTAGTTGGTTAAGCAACTGACTGGCTCAGGTCATGATCTTGTGGTTTGTGGGTTCGAGTCTCAAATCGCGCTCTGTGCTGACAGCTCAGAGCCTGGAGCCTGCTTCAGATTATGTGTCTCCCTCTCTCTCTGCCCCTCCTCCACTTGCACTCTGTCTCTCTGTGTCTCAAAAATAAATTTAAAAAAAGTTAAAAGAAATTAGAGGAAAATATGAAAGGAAGGAAAATATAAGAAAAAAGATAAGAAAATTACAGGATGAATTCAGGAGGTGCAAAATCCAAATAATACTTTCCTAAAGAAAGAACAGAGAATATTAAGAGAAATTAATCATCAAATAAGGAACTAAAATTACTTAATCAAATAATTACTGAATTATTTTTTCACTGAATTGAAAGACATAGATTTTCAGATTGAAGGGACATAATGAGTATCTAGAGCAATGGATGAAAATAAACCAATATAATATTGAGAAATTATAGAACACTAAGGACAAAGTGAAAATTCTATAGGCTTTCACAAAGGAAAGCATTACATCAAAAGATCAGGAATTAGACATCTCTGCCTTCTTTATTGTTATTTTTCCTTTTATTTATGGGTTTTTTTTAATTTTTATTTATTTATTTATTTATTTATTTATTTATTTATTTATTTTAGAGAGAGACAGAGTGCAAGTGAGGGAGGGGCAGAGAGAGTGGGAGACACAGAATTCGAGGCAGGCTCCAGGTTCGGAGCTGTCAGTACAGAGCCTGATGAGGGGCTTAAACCCATTAACCATGAGATCATGACCTGAGCCAAAGTCGGACAGTTAACCTACTGAATCACGCAGACACCTCACCTCTGCCTTCTTGATGGCAACAATAGATGTTGGAAGACAATGCAGAAGGACCTTCAAGATTCTGAAGAAAAATGATTTCTAATTTGGAATGTTATACCTAGCTAAGCTATCAATCCAAGGTCAGACATGCAAGATCTTAACATTTCTACTTCTCATGACCTTTCTAAGGCAGGTACTGGAGGATATGCTCCATGAAAATAAGGGAATAAATCAAGAAAAGGAGTGATGAGATACAAGAAACAGGACTTCTAACACAGGAGCGAGGTGTAGGGATGCCCTAAGATGATGGTGAAGGGAGATGTCAGGATGATATCTATGTTCTCTGTGTAGAAGGCAACAAGTCCAAAGTGGAGCAAATCACTGGGTTTTTGGAGAGATTTCTTCAAGAAGATGAAATTGATAGAATATCTAAAGGAATTAATGTTTTCAGAAAGGATATAGGTAACATAAGCTCATGAGTAATAAGCAGATGAATAATTTAGGGTCATATTATTAAGCAAATAGAAAACTAAGTCAAATAAAAACCAGCACAATTTTTAGCTTTAGGGAAAACAGAAAGCTGTGCAAGGAAAAGAAAAGTGACCATAGTTTATTGCCCAGCTCAGACCTTATTAGCATACATAAACATAAGAGTGTAAATACTGAATAATGATTTTTAAAAATCTAAAATACAACCGTATTTGTATTAAAGTGTGTGGTGTGGGCTGGAAGAGGAAAGTGAGCTCAATGTTTATTTTCTATGGTGGGAAATCAATGCCTAAAACTAAAAAAAATCCACAGGCAGCCTTTTAGTGTGATATTTGGAGATATGGAAGAACCTGACCCCCCCCCCAAAAAAAAATAGCTAAAAGAAAAGCCTCTGGAAAAGGGGAATGGAAGGAAGATGATATGAAGGCAGTTTTTTTCCTTAACATGTTTTACAAAGGAAATTGACAATGTGCATATATAACACTGACAAAAAAATTTTAAGTTAAAAAGTCAAACAAGGACTTTGGTGGATGGACCCCAGCAGGGATGGACTGAATGGGCAAAAGATAGGAGTGGATAGAATAGGAAGGTGGGGAGAAGACTAAACCAGGGAGGAAAGGAAGTGTTTTTGAAGATGGTGATGGTGGAGTTGGCAGCAAAGTCTGAAAAGTTAAGTGGAGTGATTGATGGCAGAGGCTTTGGGAGGGGTGGGAGAGACAAATGGCAGAAAGAATGCAGGGAGTCCCTAGGGCTGGACTAGGGGCTGGATGAGGCACTTACCGGGGCCTCGGACATGAGCACTGGGTGCAGGTTTGGCTCAGACTTGACGTGTTTACTGTAGGTGTGATCCAGGATGGCACGGAAGCACTCCCAGTCCTCAACTGGGGCCAGGAGACCAGCGGGGAGAGATGAGAGTGGGCCGGTAGGGGTCCAGGGACAGGAAGCAAAGGAAGGAGGGAGGCCAAGTCCAGAGGAGGAGATGGGAGATCAGTTTCAGCAGAAATCCCCCCTTCCTAGGAATCTGTCGGGCCCCTGGGCTGGGAACCAGGCAGCTGTGGGCAACTGCAAGGTAGACTCTGTGGGTGTGGGGTGATGTGCCCCCGGTTGTGGTGTGTGGGCTTCGGGTCTGTGTCGGGAGATGGTGGGTAGGGGCTCCTTACTCATGCCATTCTTGAGGGGCGACATGACCTCAGCTCCATCCCGAGGCACATGCAGGGCGTTGGTGTCGATGTGGAAGATCTTCCCTTTCTTCTCTTTCTCCCCCTCCAACTCCAGCCCGCCCCCCTCCTCCGCGGCCAGCAGCCCCACCGTGGTGGGGAAGTCAGCCTGGAGGGGGGCATGGGCAGGAAGAGGGATCAACCTCTTGCCCCTGTGCAGGCCCATGGCAAGGCCCTCAGCCCACCCCTGGGTTTACTCCCACATTCCCGCTCTGCAGAGCTTCTCTCTGTGTTGTGAGAACCCTGGGTCACTGGGAAGCCTGGAGGGGATTCCAGAGTCTCTCGGACTTGGGGATGGGGCTGGAAGGCTCACCTTGGGGCAGTCCTCCCCAGCGTACCCAGCGCGGACTGAGAAGGAGCCAATGTCAAAGACCAGCGCCCCCACCTCATCTGTGCGGGGAGACAGGTGTGTGAGGGGACCTCTCCCAAACTCTCTCCCCCTGGATAGCTCCGAGAGGAGGTCAGGGCAGAGCCACAGTCTCGCCACCTTCAACGCCGGCCGGGGTAGGTGGGAGCTCGGCCTGGAGTTCGGATCCTGGGAGTGGGGATCAAGCCTCCAGAATCCCTTCTTGCCTGGTGGCCTTATTCAGGCCACTCTCCTCGCCGGGAAAGAAGGGGCCAGGGGGGCCGGGAGGAGGTGAGTTGAATGATGGAGAGAGTGAGCCCAGTGCGCGCGAGCGACAGACCTGGGAGGACCAAAGGTAGGAGTGGCGCAGGACCCAAACCCAGGGCTGGACCCATTCGAGCGCCGAGGTGACAGGCCCTGGGGTGCCCAGAGCTCAGGTCGCGCGCGTGAGGGGTGCAGGGCTGCCGGCGAGGCCGCGACAGGCTAGGGAGCCTGAAGCCCGAGGCTAGCTCACCTCCGCCGTAGACGCCCCCGCTCATAATGCCCTCTCAGCGCTGCTCACGGCCCGTGGGCGGCGGCGGGATCAGCACCGAGGCGGACGGACAGCTCCCGGGATCCCGGGCGGGGCGGGGCGCGCAGTGGCCAATCAGGAGGTCGGATCCCCCGCCCCCAATGGCGCCGCAGATTGGCTGCGAGGCAAGACAATAACCTGACCGGGGGCCGCTGCTTTAAAGGGGCAGACACCAAAACTTCAAGATTGTGGGGAGGATAGCAAAGACTTTGAGATTGACCCTAAGGGATAACCAGGTAGAGAGCTGGCTGGCGTACAAAAGAGATGGAAATCTTGTCCACCTGGAGATCAGGACGCCGCAGGATGACTGATGGGGCCCCTGCTTCCTTACTGTTTTAAATGGGGTCGAGGAGAGGACTCCGTAGTCCTGGAGTCTTCCATTCTCAGGCTCCTGAGCAAGGTTCCGTCATACCCAAGTCTGAATGAAATCGCCCGGTGAAGGAGGGAAAGAAAGAAGGGAAGAAGAAAAGAGAGAGGTACAGGAGGGGGTGTGTCTCCATCTTCTCCCTGTTTCTTTCCACCCTCGTCTTTCTAATGGCCCCTCTTTTCCTCTCCCGTCCCTGGCGCCTGGGCCCTATACATACACACGTGTACCGTGTACCGTGTTCACACATTGGTGCTGAGCTAACCCATCTTTAGCTTCCTTTCCCCATCTATCTCTCCCCAGCTGTTCTCCTGGCCTGACACCACCTCCACAGCAGTTTTAATAGCAAAGGTCAGGGAGCTGCGTCTACAGACTCGCTTAGCTGAGAGACTCTTATGTGATGTGTGCCTGGTATGTATGTGCTTACACGTGTGGGGATATGTGTGCATGTGCATATGCATGTGTGTGTGTGTGTGTGTGTGTACATATGTGCATGTGAATATGTGTGTGCTGAGGGCACTTCCACCTACTTTCTGGGGTGGGGAGAGAGCATGGACACCATGGATGGCACAGGAAGAGGGTACTGTGTGACAGCCAAAGCCCCTGAAGTTTCTCTGCTCACCAGATGCCCACTCTGGAAGAGATTCCACCTGTCTCCAGCCAAAGGACAGATAGTTTAAGATGGCTCATTGATTACCTACTGACAACAGCGGCCCTTCACATGCCCAAGGTTGGTTGGGAGTCCAGGCCTAGCTCTTCAGTCTGGAGGCATTCAGGCTTAAGTG